CCCCGGAACTGCCCTATCCCGCCAGCTGGGCTCGACCATCACCCTCAAGCCCGGCGGCTCCAAGTCTTTCAAGCCCACCATCACCTTCAAGTCCGGCACTGCCAGTTTCCTCACCACCTACTCCAAGACCGCCAACAAGGTCCCGCTGTCCGGCGCCTTCGGCCTCCCCACAACCCCCATCCCGGTCCTGGCGACTGTTGCGCCCATCAAGAAGGTCTCTTCGTGCAGCCTGAACCTCAAGCTCAAGGACAAGACTGTCCCCACCTTCAACCTCCTCTGCCAGAACTTCAAGATCGACGTGAGTGACGGGCCTCAAAGGGACGACGGGCTCTACTGGGCAGCGGTGCACGGGATGGGGGTGTGGGCGCGCCGCCACGGGTGGCCACGAGGCACGCCTGATTGACTCAGTTTTACTCGTTGACAAAACGGAGTACAGAGTGTCACAATTCCTGTTCGCGGCCTGCTGAATACCAACATTACCTCACCCCTCCCTCATTGCCCCGATCCCGACAGTTCACCCCCTACTCGTTCAGCGATACCAAGGCCACCATCGTCCTGAAGCAGGCGACCGGCAAGGGCTCCGTCTCCCTCAAGGGCTCCGTCGCCCTCACCTCTGCCAAGAGGTTCTAAGCAGCCGGCAAGCGCACGCCCCGGCCGCGCCACCTCGCATCGCGCCGCCGCACGCGCGCTTGCGCTCGGGGCGGGCTCGACGTAGGGTGCGCCTGGACGCCCCGGTTTTTCTCTGGTTGATGGGGCAGCTGGGCTGATCAAGCCCCTCTCGGGCATTACGCCCGGCCCTCCATCTTCCAATCTTTGTCAAGTTCAAGCCTGGTCTGCAACCAAGCTGGCGACCCGTGACCCAGGCGCCATGCAAGCCTGCAACCTGATTCTCTTATTCCAACGGGCGTCTTCGTTTTTGGAGGCCCCTCTCGAGCACCTTCAGTGCGGGGGTCACTGCATGCAGAAGTGCCACGCGTGACCTGTGAAGGAGCTGTCCATGAGTTTATGCTCTCAAAACAGTGGCGCTGCGCGTCCTCAGCCGCCCTGCACGCGACTCACCTGATTATTCACCGCCTCGCGTGTGCGGACCTGCAAAGCACTGTTCACGTGAACAAGCACAGGTGTTGATGATTGGGATTGGTCGCCCACGGCATCCCCGAGGTTTCCTTGCGGCAGCAACGTATTAGAAGGGCGGGATCTCACTTGCACAACGTGCGGTCTCACCTGTGGCGGCCCAAACCCTCTCCGGCGCGAACGGGCCTTTGCTGAACCCCCGAGCTGTTGTGGCCTGCCATGGCGCACCGGCCCGCACCCCCATGCCCGCAAAGCACACTCACACACATCCTCACACACATCATGCAAGTGCCCTGAACATTCAGTGTTGGCACCCGACCACCGCATGCGCACTCTCTGTCACACACGAACACACATTGTCATTGCGCCGACACATGTGCGTGAACTGCAATGTCAGAGTTTGTTGAGTTTCTGCGCTGTGAGGAGATTCGGGAAGTGTTGGTTAGACCTGCTGAGTGAGTACGGTGTAACCACCTTGACAAATAAAGCATTGGTGTATATATTTGCTGCCAGCTGGCAGGGAATTGATGGCGCCAGACAACTCAAACACTTGCCGGCACCATCGACACTAAGGGAATGCAGGCTAAATAAGCAAGCAGGCTGTGACGTGTATGCAAGCTGCGGCAGGCAAATGTTGTGCAGGTGCAGCCTGACTGCCATCAGTGGGGGACAACCAAGGTAACGGGCAATTTTGACACTCCCCATGGCATCACACGTATGGCCACCCGGTTTCTGCATCTGCAAGGTTTGGCACGGTCATACACCCACTGCTGCCAACGTGCATGGATGCGGCACAGCTGTCGGGAACATCACCTGCCCAGGCAGAAAGCTGCCAGCATCCCCAGTCGACTTGCTCTCATGATATGAGGGCGAAGCACAAGAGTGTCACTGTGTGATACCTTCCGCCTGGTGGCCACAGTTTTGCCTGACAGGCTTGTTGCCCCTAGGCAAGGTTCGAGGCAGCTGGCTGCCCGCCTGCCACAACAGCAGCAACACGAGGCCCGGCCCGTCGCACTTTGTGACCCTCGCGAACCGCTGTTCTGCAGACGGCCCCGCCTGCAGGCTGGCTGAAGGAGCCCAACGGTGCTGAGTATCATGCGCTCACAGCCAATGGTTTTACGAACCCCAGTCTGCCGTGCAGCCATCCGCGCCCGTGAAGTGGTGGCCGCAATTGCCATGGCAGCAGAATTTCTGGGGCTGGGCTTGCCCGCAGTGCGATCACTGTGGCGCAGTATGGCAGCAGGGGCTGCCAAGCGTCGCGGGAAGCGCGCATTCCTGCACCCAACGCCCTTGCGTGATTGCCTTCCACTGCCCTCGCAAAGGAAAATGGCCGCGGCTGGCGGACAGCCATCCAGCCATGGCAGCTCAACCGCCACACAACAGCCTTGGATCGCTTCTAGCTGGCGCGGGGCCGGTGTAGCAGCAGGACCTCCAGCATTACAAGCAGGGCAGGTGAGCAGAGCCTACAGCAGTAGGGAGCCCCTCAGCCGCGCCCTGCTCGTTTCTTGCGCCGCATGCAGCCGGTGCATCAGCAACCCGGTTTGTTGTGCTCATACGAAAATTGCACACATCTGAGCATGCAACCTGTGACGAGTACTCGGTTGCCTCTGCTCAACGGAAGCACGTTCAACAACGTGGCCGGTTTCTGGAAACGTGTGGACCGTCCTTCCGATTGGCTTCAGCACGTCGGTGGGGCGGGTGACACCAGAGTGAGTGGGGTGTGTCAGTGCTGAAAATTCGCTCTGGTTTTTTCCGCATGATCACAGCCGACCTGCCGGTTCTCGAAGCACATGACCCACCACGCCGGAACCGACGACACACACACACACATCCGCCCTGGTCGTGCTAACGTGAGCATTTAGAGGTCAAGATTTGTGCGCCTGGCATGTTTACGAGCGCGCTGGCCTCTCGTGTCCACACGCACTATTCGGCCACACGGGTGGCTGGCCCATGACCCGGATTGAGCCGGTGCATGCGCGGTTAATTGAAGAGAATTGACGTTCAGGATGCTGTTAGGTTTTTGGGTGACTTGAAAACGGCCGTCGGCCCGCCACCACGCAGACACAGCCATGAATATGAAGTTTGCAAGGGGCATTGCAGCGGTCGCTGCCCTGCTGGTGGTGGTGGCGATCAGCCCTGCACAAGCCCTTGTAAAAGGCGACTGCATTGTTGGTAGGTCAATAAGCGCCACCTCGGCGACTATGGCTGCACACGGGGGCAGCGGCTTGCGTGCAGCAGTACTGCGTACGCTCAGGGACGCGCTGTTGCTGCTGCGCCCAATCAACACCTGCAAGCCCCTTGCACACTCAGCACGTTCTAGTCCCGCCGCTCGCACACACTTGATACCCGGGGTGGCCCTGCATCCCACCCGGAAGTCTCCAAGCACCAATACTGGCTCCCTCCTGTGCCGACCCACAGACCTGACCCTGACAGGCGGCACCAAGCTTGGCCTTTCGCCAGATACCAGGCTGACAGTCCAAGCAGCGCGCCGGGTGAGGCTGACCTTCAGGCCCAGCAGCGCCTCGGACGCGGAGAGGGGGGCAGTTTCTGGGAAGCTGCCGCTGGTCCTTTCAGCAGGTGAGCCCGCAAGCCTGTGAAGCCAGCCGGCTTGTCGAAGGCCAATCTATATCACTGCACTCTGCCTTAGGCAATAAGCACTGACCTCTGCATCCATGAATGTTTGAATTCCCCCATTATCAACAAGACCGGGCAAGACTAGACACAAAAGTGCATGGTGCCAAACAAGCTGGTCCTGCCGTGCATGCGGCAGGATGGAGCGCAGATAGAGCAGATCCATCCAAATGAAGATTGCCATCCACAAAGGAGCATTACTGGCTGTTTTACTGGCCGTGTGCGCTCCAGTTTCTGACAAGCACGACCAAAATAAACCTGACACGTGTAGCACCATGAGACCAGGCGCACCCTGTCGCTCCCCCTGGCTCGTTCATTTACAATTGCAGGCGCCGGCGGCTGCAACTTTACGGACGGCTCGCTCGATCGCCGCAGCCCCGGGAACAACGCACTCAGGGCGGCCCTCAGAAGGGTATCTGTCGGCGGCGGCGGCAACTCCACCTATGGACGTGAGCGCCAGGCCCCAACAGCACGCACACCACAGTGCGGCCGCTGTGCGGGCGGCGGGCGGAGGGTTGGCGGCTGCGCCGACCTGGGCTCCGCATATATCTGTGCACATGCCACACTGCGGGCGCCTGTGGCTCCTCTCCTGCAGATCTTCAGCCGCTCCCTCATACATGCAGGCCTAAACCCTGCCCCCACAACTTCCACACCTTGCCCCAACGCCGCAGTGTTTGTGACTGACTTTGCAGGCAGGAGCACCACACGCCGCCCGGCCACCTCGACCACCGATTTCAGCTTCAAAAACGGCGTCGCACTTGACGTGAGCCACTCGCTTGCAGCGACTGCTACATGCAACTCGCCACCGCCGTTGTTGCGGGCCCAAGAATCAAATACTTCACACTCTGAGACTGGGGCGGCGCCAGGGCGGATCATGCTGGGACCGCGTTGTTTGGGCTGATTTGCCCACAAAGCGGATGCTAGATGGCCAGCAACTCGGCTTCCTGCTGGCCTCTCAAAAGCAAACCTGACTCATGCACGCTCACCCATGCACCCGGGCGGCACCCCGGCTCTGCGCAGCTCTCGGCCACCACCTCCCTGTCTTCCCGCTACATCCGCATCTTCCGGCCCACCGCCGCGTTCACCGGCGGCGTCGCGGCGCTGCAGCTGAACTATTCGAGGCCCCTTGGCCGGCAGGGCGCCGTGTCTGGCGGCGCCGGCTTCAACAGCACCGCCCTGTCGGGCCTCGGCGCGGCGCGGCGCGCGTCGCTCTGTGCGCTGTCCCTGACACGGATCTCCTCGAAGGCCACCTTCACGCTGCTCTGCCAATTCTTCACGCTTCAAGTGCGCTGCGCGCGCGCCGCGCACATGGGCGCCCCAGCTCCTTGCTTGTGACAGGCCGCCGCAAAACGCGGCGTGTCTGGTGCGTGCGGAGCTTGTCTGAGTCGCGGGACGCAGCATGCAGCTAGCCGTCCAGCTCAACCCGCTCGTGGCAGGTCACCCGCTCGTGGCAGTTACCCATGAGGAAGGGGAGGAAGGCATGCCTGTCCCTCACCACCCCTTGCAATCCCCGTACAAACCTGCGCGCCTCTCCTGGATGCGCATACTCGTTCCACCCTCATGATGATGCATATTGTTGACCCAGCTGCCCAATGTTCAACCCACCTGCCGCCCCTCCTGCTGTCCCGCAGTTCCCCAGCTTCACCAATGGCGACCTGACCACCAGCCTTGCGTTCCGCCAGTCGACGGGGCGCGGCGCGTTCTCCGTGCGTGCCACGGGCCTGCTTACGTCCGCCTACGTCTACTGATTGCAGGCCGCTCCGTCTGCTGGGTTCCCCCAGCAGGCACGGCATAGCGGTGACGTCCCTGCCAGCGACGCTCATCGCCTCCAATGACTGATGTTGCCACATCAATACCAGAACCTTGGCCTTGCGGGGGAGCTGCTGACAGCAGCACGAGGGCGCATATGGTGAGCTAGGGCCACCCACCCCCAAAGACTTCTACCCGTGCATCAACACAAAGACGGCGGCCACGCGCCCGCAGCAGGGGCGCCCGCAAGGTGTCTCGTGCTCCTATCACTCGTCGCCAGCCGTCCTCACATTGTTACTTTTTGAGCCAACAGCTCCTCCTTCACAGCCGACTGTCGTCAGGCCCTTTGTCCCGCGATCGCGTGCGCACCAACTGCTAATTTCGGAGCGTGCACAGTTGTGTTGACTTGATCAGTCGGGGCGGCCGTGCTACTTCACTTCATTGCCCCCTGCCACTGTGTTGCGTTGAAGGTGCTTTCTTTTTGGCTGGCCAATCCAGCGTGCACACAACAACCAGCGCCCCAGGCCGCCCCGCCCCATTTTGCCCACCAGATTCAAGGCGCATCGCATTTCTCGAGCCTGCTGGCAAGCAGCCTCGAGGGATGCTTGCCAGCAGCCCTCAGCACATTTACAATCAACCCGCCACTTTCTCGCGTGCAAGACGATGTTGCGTTTGAGCCGACGTTGCTGCCAAGAGGGCGCCGCCTTTGCTGCGGTCTGTCGCCTTTCCAGCCCGAGCTCACTGCTAGGAGGCCAAGATATTTTCAGGACCATTTCGCTAAATTATTTTAGGCACCTCTTGCCAATTGCCTCAGTGTTGTTTCTTATGCACGTATGAGATGTGAGCCGACCCGCACACCGGACCTCAGGGCCTTTTGCTGTACTCACAGGCTGTAAACAGGCACGCATCCCGTGGCGGGCTCTGACGCCCAGAGGTCTACGGCAGAAAATGTGGTGGCTATGCCTGTTTAGAGTTGCCATGATGCTTTTTTGGTGCAAGAGGAGGAAGCACGTCAGCTGCATTCGTAAGACTGCACCACACGGCAGATAGGCAGGCCCCACTTGCCGCTTGCCAGCTTTTCCGGATCTAGCCGGCGGCTGTCATTGATGCATATATGTTGATGGCAGCACTCATGGGGGGTATGGTACATGAGTGCCGCCCTCCGACTTCAACACGGGGTGGGGTGCAGCTGTGCGCTGCGCGCTGTGCACTGCAGCTTCCGCAGACCTGCCCTCTGCCATCGCAGTCGCTGTGTCGGCTTGTGTGTCCGCACCCCGCGCTCTCACACGTGAAATGGCGCAATCTCCATCCATTTCACTATACTGACCTATCAGCAAAGTCCTTCGTAAGATTGCAGCACAAAAAACGACCAAATTCAAAAGTTGCTTCCCAGCACCGCGCGCAGAAGCCTCTCAATCCATCGGATAATAGACAACACCGGGATAGGACAACATAGGTTGCTTCCGAATGGACATAGAAGCGCCTCTCCTCGCTGGGCTGCCCTGCAGGTGCGAGCAACTGTCGTTGTTGCGCGCCCATAAGATCCGAGTGCTTTCAGAAATGCAATAATTGGCAGGCACCACCATACCGATGCGCAGAGGCAATCTCGTGCTCGGCGCAGCGCTGCTGAGCGGCGCGGCACGCAAGGTCGTATGCGCACCGCCGCACGCTGTTGGTGAGCGACGGCGGGCATCTCAGCACGCTCTCGCGCACCCCAGCCGCAAGCTGCAGCACCCCGATTACTCACCTTTATACGGACTATTCATATCAGTACTTACACAATCACGGTGCTCGGCATTTCCTTCAAGTGCAGCCACATCACCATGTGCCAAGTGTGGCCCCCCACCATGAACTGCCGTGGCCCTCGCTCCTCACCAACTCGCTCCCTCCCAGGCCACCGAACTGTCAAGTCGGAGGTGATCTCCCTGGACCAATGGTACCGTAGATCCCTGCGGCTGAAGCCGTCCGCATCAGCGCACGTAACCAGCAGCGGCCCCGCATCGACGCCGGGCAGCGCCGGCGGCGCGGCAAGCCGCAAGCGGCCGGCTGCGTCCCCTGGGCAGCAGACGGGTGGCGAGGACGCGCGGGCGGCGCTCGCGGATCAGGAGAGGCAGAAGAGGGCGGCGCTCGAGCTGAGGCGGGCGGGTGCGGCGGAGGAGCGGCCTGGCACAGCGACAGGCCGGTGCGAGCCGGAGCAGCAACAGCAGCAGCAACAGCAGCAGCAGCAGCAGCAGCAGCAGCAGCAGCGGCCGCAGCAGCAGCAGCGCCCGCCGCAGCAGCAGCAACGCCCTCAGCAGCAGCAGCAGCAGCGGCCCCTGCAGCAGCCTGGCCCAGCCAGGCCTGTGGCCGCAAACCCAGGCGGCAGCGGCGGCGGCGCCGGAACGTCACGCGCGGCGGCGAGGCAGCAGCAGTTCACCCCTGAACAGCTGCATGCCAAAACCGCCAAGGACCTGGCAGAAATGCTGAAGGCGCGCGGCCAGAGCGGCGCGGGACGCAAGGAGGCGCTCGTGCTGCGGCTGCTTGAATACCAGCGGCGGATGAGAAGGGCGATGCGGCCGGCCGCGTGACGCGGCGCCTGCAGCTGCCCCGGCTGGCAGTGCCGGGCGGCTGTTGCGGGCGGCGTGCTGATGCAGAGCGGGGCCTCCGCGGGGGACTCCTGTGGTAGCAGGCATGCAGCCAGTCCTCCCCCTTACCCAGTCAACAGTCCCCCTCCCCCCACCAGCACACCCCCATTCAGCTGTGGCGCCACCCCACCCCTTCCAGAATGTGCCCTCGATTTTGTTTGCCACCCGGCGAGAAGCCGGCGACCCGCAGGATGCATGCTTGCTTACACGTAGATGGTTGGTTAAGTAACATGAGTAATGATGGCACAATATGACGACTGCGGCTGGTGCGAGTGACGGCCATGTGGCCCACGGGGCGTTGGCGCCGCCACCACAAGCAACCACACAGCCGTACCC